ACTGCAAGTTCGGCCATTCCAGACAGCTGTTGCTTGGGCTTCCCACTCCCGCAGTTACAATCTAGGAAACCCACAGGAGAGTTTCTGCCCTGTCCTGTAGGGTTGCCCTGAGTTGGAAGTGACTCGATGGCAAATCGACTTGGTGTGGCTTTTCACAGGGTTAGGACGATGCGTGGCATCGCTATTTAATAAATGAAGAAAAATGATTCTGCCTATAAAACATGCCTTCCCATATGTATTAAAGATACCCCAATTCCAGACAGGTTAAAATGTGGAACTCAGTGAAATACTTCATTGTTTAATCCTGCTATTCTACCCAGACAAGGGACAAGTAGCCGAGTGGCTTCTATCACTATATTTTCAGTCTCTGGATGGGGACCCACAATAAGAAAGAGATGTCCTTGTAATCCAGGTTCCCTCACTGCGGTCAAGCAGGGAGAGTGACTCCGCGTAATCAGCAGCGCTGCCATAAGGGCTGCCAAGGCTGTAGTCTGCACCAGGGCGGACGGTCCTGGTTTCCTAGTGTGGAGAAGCTGGTGGGCTTTAAACACCACTCTATTGGTTCCCAGGAGAGTGCTTTAGCCGCTGCGCCACTAGCGCTCTTTGCAACTCAGCACCCAAAAGCCAATCCACTGCCACCAAGTCAATTCCAACCCACGGTGGCCCTCAAGGACAGTCACACAACTCCTCGGGGCTCATGAGACTAAATCTTTACTGGAGTCCACAGCCTCACCTTTCTCTCAACGAGTAGCTAGCTGGTGGGTTTGAACCTCTGCCTTGAGGTTAGAAGCCCAAGACTTACATCTCATAGCACCATCCGGGATCCCTGTAACTCAGAACGCAGATGCACCTCCCACTACTCGGCCACAGGTAAAAGACCCTTTAGGAGAGAGTTTTGGGAAGGGGGTGATGGCTAAGGGTCAGCCAGGCTCCCTGGCCCATTGCAACCAGGGTTCCAGCAGCTCAACCTGGTCAGACCCACGGCTGAAACACACACGCACGCACGTATGCACACAGGCAACTAAAACACTTTACAAAACAGTATCTAACTAAAGATTGGTACAGTGCAGTTATTTGCTTTTTCTAAAAATGGTTGTTTAAAAAAAAGTAAGTTTGTCAACTTACTGCTCAACTGTTTTTAAGACGAGTGGGCCAGGACCTGAAGTTTGTAAACTATTGGCCTAGGCCTAGACCCAGAGCTCTCTGCAGGCAGAACCCTGTTATGTTTCTCAAGAGAATCCACTCTGCTGGAGCCTGCCCCCACTCCCAGCACGCAGCCGCTGTGGAATTGATTGTTGGCTAAAAGGCAGAGAGAAGGGGAAGAAATTGAAAGAGGAAAGGGGTGCATTGGGAGGTAGGGAGGATGTACAGGAAGGGGAGGACAGAGGGTGGGGCATATGCCACTGTCCCCTGAGAGGCCCAGGGTCCAGCGTGGTCTCCTATGCACCGCCCAAGTCGCCAGACTTATTGCTTCCACCAGAGACAGATACTCTGTCATTAGGGTGCCAGGGGCTGCACCTACTCCAGGCTCAAAAGCAGAGTCATCCCCTCTCTCTCTAGATGTCAGAAAGAGCCAGCACTTGTCAGTGACTGGAGCCTTTTATAAACCAAACTCACTGCCAGGGAGCCCACCCCAACTCAGGGACCCTAGGGGACAGGCCAGCACTGCCCGGGGGAGTTCCTGAGACTGTAGCTTTCATGGGAGCGGCTGGTGGTTTGGGATTGCTGACCTTGTTCACGGTTAAGAGCCCAGCGGGTAACCATTGAGATAACCCTTGGGTAGCGCAAGAGGTTAAGCTCTTGACTACTGCCCACAAGGTTGGTGGTTCGCTCCCTGGAGTGCCGCAGAAGGCATGCTTGGAGGTCTGCTTCCAAAACGGGGAGCAGTTCTACTCTGCCAAGGCGCATGACCCTGGGTTCGAATGGACTTCATGAGGAGAGGAAAAATCACTGAAGGGCTGGTAGGGACCTTTGCTCTACTCCGCCCAGCCCCACCACCATTCAAACCCCCATGGCTGCTTATTACATAATAAATTGCAGCAGGGTTCATAAGTACTAAGTGTGATTGCACTAGGAACTGAGTGAGAAGACTTGGCCCCAAATCGACACCGTGTGATTGATTACTCATCCTGGTCCCCTGTTCTACTGCGCAGGCCTTCCTCCTGAGCTCGCGAATAGCTCCACAGTCTGGTGCTGCCCTGAGGTAATTTATTGTGCCAACCTGGCCGATAAACACGTGTGATTAATTGAAGGGCGGAGGGATAAATGACTCTAGTTTCTCAGGTCTCTTGCTTTGTGATGGTCGCACCAGGGTGCAGCTGCCTTAGCCAGTTCCCTGCTTCAGCTTGCAAGGCTGACTTCCTGCAACACATCCCCAAGGAAAAGCAGCATGGACCTACTCTGATGCAGCCCTGGGTGCTGGAGCAGCCGTGTGGAGACCTCTGCCAGTGCTGAGATGTTTACACCTTCACTGACTCGGCTTTCCTCCTGCAGTCGGCATTGTTGTGTCTGTTTTGTGAGATGGAGGAGGACTTTGTGTATGGTGTTGGACATATGGGTTAATGTGGAACTCATGGGCTTGGGCAGCACTGGGTTGGGATGTTTTCTTGATGCACACTTAACCTTTATATAAAACTCTCTCTTATACATGAGTTTCTGTGTTTTTGTTTCTCTAAAGTACCCAGACTCATACATGCCCTTATGCCAAACTTCCGAAGCTGAAGCGCTCGGAGGCCTCAGGGCGGATAACCAACTCTAGATGTCTCTCAAATGTTCCCAAAAGCCTCCTCTCCACAACCCCCGCCCCCACCCTCAGCCACTGACCTTTCCTTGAACAAGATACCAGTAGGCTTTGCCCACGTATACACCTGTCCAAATCAACTCGAGTCGAGGTGAGGAACCCCGCCCACAGGCCTCCTACCGGCCAACCTCAGAAGCCGTACCAAAGAGCGGCTGTTTCAGCCATCACATGAAAACAAAACACAGCAAAAGAAATTCACTCGCTGCCCCACCGAGCCAAGGCCGACTCATCGTGACCCTATGGCCTCATTGGCCAGGGCAGAACTGGCCCTGTGAGTGTTCCGGAATGCTACTCTTTAAGGGAGTAGAAAGTCTTACCATCTACCTGAGAGCAGCTGGTGGATTCAAACTGCTGACTATGGGGTCTGCAGCCCATCACAGGACCACTATGCCATCAGGCCTTCTAGGTCATCACATGAATTATCCACAAGTTAGCCCTACAGCAGTTAAAAGTTATCCCCCAAACATTGACTTTTCATGCTTTATTTCCCTGGCCTTCTTCAAAGTATAGCAGGCAAATTTTTAAGCTGCTGATTTTGTATGGCCCGCAAAGGACGTTATAAATATCCAAATGGCCCTTGCCAGGAAAAGAACGGTTCTTCACCCCTCTTTTAGAACTCAGACCCAGAAAGAAAACATTCCGGCCAAGGCCAACACACAGTGGGACATGGGTGTCAGGAAGGGCTGTCCCAACCCTCCAAATGGCCCCTCTTCCACAGGCACGCTGTGCCCGTCACTCAAAAATAACAACAAAACCCACAAAAATAAAATAGATAAAATAACAACAACAAATACTTACGGGCAACACGTCACGCCTGCGGTGCTCTGAACTGCTCATGACATTTTTTTTTGGCAGATGACACAATCTTTTTATTTTCTTCATTGATTGCTCATCACTTTATTGGGAGCTCTTACAGATGTCATAACATTCCATAATTCAAATTCGTATTTACTTTGGACAAAAATCATGTGAATGGGCGGGAAGAAATAACAGCTCATAAAATTTAAGTCTTTGGCCTCAAGGTCAAGCCCTGGATGACAAACTGGATGGTTGGCAGTTCAAATCCACCCAGATACATCTCAGGTCTGGTAATCTCCCAAAAGGTCACAACCTTGAAAACCCAATGGGGCGTGCACAGTTCCCACCCCACACCTGAGTCGCGATGGATTTAGTGACAACTAACATAAGGCTATTAAGTGACACGGTCAAGACTTGAGTCAGGGGCCCTACAGAGCCTAAGTTCTAAGCAATAGCTTTGGGCTCTCAGGTCATGATAGGAAATGTCCTTCCATCTCCTGCCCTTCCCACCCTGGACGACATGGAGAGCAGATGCATTTCCTTCCAGCCAGCCCCGGCAGGATCAAGAGCGGTTTCCTGTAGCTGGTTTTTGAGAACTGGAATCCCCAAGCCTTTGGGTTGCAGCTGGAAACATTAATAGTTTGCCCCATCCAAGCAAGTTAGGCAAAATTTGCAAGTTAGGCACTGGGTCTCCTGACCCAGTGAGACATGGCCCGTCTCTGTCCAGAGCTGGCTCCAAATGGCCCCACAAACAAGTATAAAGGCTCCCCGACACACATCCCCATATTAAAAGGCCTGGTTATAAAATAAACGCCAAAAATAAAGCATGATCAATTGACAAAACCACCCAACAAATCCTTACAGCTTTCAAAACTTTTAGGGGGGGGGGAGTAAAGATGATATATTTCTCCTTCACTATCCATTCCTCAATTACTTACTTAATTTCACAAGATCCCAAAGGATGAAACAAAAGATAAGCAAGACATTTCACCACCATAGCTTCCCATTTAAAAAACTGTTGTTTTGTTAATGTGTTACAACTTTTCCAAAATATTCCTACTGTTTTGTGGTAATCTACTGGATCCTAAAAAACGCTTTGGATTAAAATTGCCGGTTGTTTTCGTTCCGTTTCCTGTCTGTTCATCAAAAAGAGGGTTGATCTGTTTTCCCCAGCGACTGCAGTCCTCCGGGTGACCAGCCAGCCAGTGACCCACACGCTGGCCCTACAGCACGGTAAACGATTATCCCCCCAAACACCAACTTTTCATGCTGCATTTCCTTGGCTTTCCCCAAAGTGAGACTGGTCAGTCGTAGCTAATGAAACGGCCGGGTGTCCAGTCCGACTCACAGAGACCCTACAGGGCTGGGGAGAAGGTAAACAGAGGACCGGCAGATCGGATACCTGGGAGCCGCGATTCCGATCTGGGCTCCAGCCGCACCACAAACAGCTGTGACCTTGGGTTCACAGGTCCGCCTCGCTGAGCCTCCGTCCCCTCGTCCGCAAAGCAGGAATCCTAAGTCCACGGGGAAGAATTTACTAGGGACCCCAGGCGCACAGGAGGAACACAGTGTTGGATCGCGCGCGTCCCCGCCGTCCTGAGGGTGGGGGTCGTGGCAAACCTGCCAACTCCGCCCCGCCACTCAAGGTCAGCGGCCAGGCCCTCCGGGGGGCCTCCGGGCGCGATCCCAAAGGCAAGGCCCGAAGGACGCTCGTGACCCGGGCCGGTCTGTCCACCCCTTCCCTGCCCATCCTCTTCCCCAGCCGGGGCCTCGGCGGTCAGAGGCCCGGCCCCGATCGCAGAGGACCGGCCAGGGGACCCCCGCTCCCCACACCCCAGCGCGCGGGCTTGTCCCCACACTCCGGACCCGACCCGGGCGGCGGCCGCACGCGTTGGCGGCGGGAAAAGTGGACTCACCTTGCGGCGCCCCGGCGAGCGCGCGCCGCGGGCCCTTTGTATGCAAACCCCGAGCGGGCCCCGCGCGCCGTCCACGCCACTGGGCCCGCCCCCGGGGCGGGGCCACGGGGGCCGCGCTGAGGGGGGCGCGGGGCGCGCGGAGGAGCGCGGGCGCTTTCGGGGCCCACGTGGCCCCAGGAGGTGGGGCGTCCCTTCTGGAAGGCCTCGGTCCTGCGGGCTTGGCTCTAAATGCCCGTCTTGGTTTTCCTGGGAGTGTCGAGCTTTGGGCCAAGTTTCTGATTATCTGCCCTTAGCCCGCCCATAGTGATCCCCTGGGACGGGATAGAACTGCTCCCGAGGGTTTCTGGGGTTACAAACATTCACGGGAACAAACAGAAACCAGCTTTCTCTGAGTGCAGTTAGTGGGTTTGAACCATGGATCTTGAGGTTAGCATTCCAAGACTTAGCCCAATGAGCCATCCAGACCCCTTGCTCCAACTTTGGTTTCTTGTATTGGCCCCCCAGCCCACCCCCCAGCAGTTTAGATCGGCATGTAGTGGGAGGGGGCTTCTGAAAGCGAGTGGGAAAGATCCATTATCTTTACATTTTTCCTACGAACTTTTTGAAGCTCTTATACCACTGCCCTGATGGTGTAACGTGCTTTACGAGTTGGGCTGCTAACCACCAGGTCAGTGGTTCCAAACCACGGGTGGACAGATGGGGCTTTCTACTCCAGTAAAGAGTTACAGTCTCAGAAACTCAGAGGACAGCTCTGCCCTGTCCTGTGGGGTCGCTGTAATTGGCTTGAGGGCAGTGGGTGAGGTGTGGTTTCTTGGTGGGGCAGAAAAGTGTCCATAGGGTTATCGATGGCTGAGATCTGATAGAAGTAGCAGATGATCCAAACTGTTCTTCTGCAGGGGCTGTTGGGTGGATCCCAACAAACATCCAGGCTGTAGTTCTGCTACACACATGGGGTCGTTGGAATAGCCTCTGGATACATCCTCAACCCCCCAGCCTCCCTTCCCTCTGAGGAGCGGACGGGGCCCAAGTGGTATAGTGCTTACACACTGGGCCACTGACTGCAAGCTCAGCCTTAGGAACAAAAGAGGGCTTCGTACTCGGAGTCTCTGAAACCCTACGGCACCGATCCACTCATCAATCCACTCGTTCCTGTGAGGTCGCGTGGGGTCGGAATCTGCTCCTCCTATGGATGGCAGCGGTGTGGTTTGGGAAGACATGGAAGGTATTTGCAACAGTAGTGGGAAGGAGCTGCTCAGTAAGCCAGGCCAGGAAGGAAGCCTCCCAGGGCTGTGGCCCACCATCTTCTCAGCCCCACCCTTCAGTGGGTTTGCCCTGGTCACATCCCTCCTCACCTCCTTTAGCCATAAAGCGGCAGTCCTGTGGGCCATGATTTACACGTAGTGTCTCAACGTTGCTGCCATCAAGTCCGTCCCCACTAAGCCACATAGCGGAGACCTGCCACCCCCGCCGTTCTTGTAGGCTGTAATCTTTTAAAATAAGCAGATCTCTGGCTCTCCCCAAGGAGCCACCCCAGAGGGCTCTCACTGCTGTTTGTCCAAAAGATCAGAGCAATCACTTCCATACATCTCCCGCTTCCTTCATCCACTGAGCAAACGTGCCGCAGGGGAGGGTGGGGCAGGTCTCTGCTTGCAGGTGGCAAAGGGGAGGCATGAACACATTAATCGGTGAGATCATCTCCCGTGGCCAAATGACTTTACAACAGCTGATCGGGCAGGCATCACTAAGAGGTAAACACCCTCACCGTTCAGAGATGGGGGAGCGGGTTGCCAGAACCTTCTAGAAACAGCAAGTGGAAAGGTTTGGAGGCCTAGTGCTGTGGGTGACTAAACCCCAACACCAAACCTGCTGCCGTGGAGTCAGTTCTGACTGACAGCAACCCTAGTTAGGGCTTCCAAGGCTGGGAATATCCGGGAGCAAATAGCCTCGCCTGGCTCCCACGGAGCGGCTGGTGGGTTTGAACAGGCGGCTTGAGCTTGGCAGTCCAACGTTTACCTGACAGGTGACTGAAGCGTAGTGAGTGAGAGAAGACAGGGGACGACGTTTGTTGCTGTGAGGTTCTATCCCCACAATCGTTCCTCTGCCCGAGCGCACTGCTGCAACGTCCTTGTCTGTCCGTCTTATCATGGGCTTTCCTTCCTTTTCCTCGCTGCCCCTCCACTTTGCCAAGCCTGGGGCCCTTCTTCAGGGACCAGTCTTCCCAGGTCACAGGAGAAGGGTATCGGGAAGAGGAGCAGAGGCCAAGTAGTTAGGGTCGTTGTAGGCCAAGGCCAGGGATTTGAACCTAGGAATTATGTGATCCATGACCTCGAGTGGACAGGAGGACACAGGAGACCTGGAGAGACGGGGCACCCGACTCGACTGGGATTTGGTGGGACTGGGTGGTGAGCACTAGAAAGAAGACTGGGCATATGTAGGAGGCAAGGGCTTGCTGGTGTAAGGGAAAGGAGATGCATAAGGAGAGAAACCAGAGAAGGAAGCATCAAGGCCAAGTCTCGACGCTTGAATCCCGCAGTGAATGGCGAGGGCCCTAAGGGAGAGGAAGAAGAATGGATTGGGGGGTACCGTTTGGATGGAAGCTGTTGTCTGAAAGGCAGGCAGATGCAAGCTCAAATGCCAGCACTCAATGAAGACGCCGGCTGGTTTACAATAGAGATGTGGAGTCGTGCGCTTGCAGAGAGCTGTCCCGGTCAGCGTCTGACCGTGTGTGGGTGCCCGCTAGCCTGTCATGAGACACCTCCCACCTAGGCAGCCTCCACTTGTCAGGCTCACAGGGCAGAGCAGGGGGTGTTTCACCATTTGCCCATGGGAGACCAGGGTGCAGCATCGCTGCCGGGCCAATGGCAGAGGTCTGCAGGGCCTCCTCCCACCTGCCCACAGGCCCCGAAGAAGAAAGGGCGGGTGGCCCTGCCTATGAGGAGCAGTGCGAAGCCGCTGCACGTGGGGTTGGCATGCGTCAGGACAGTTTGGGGGTTCTGTTGTTACAGGGCCTCTAAGAAAGGTGTTTCTGTGCCCTCCCTTCCCCCAGCCTTGCCTCAGAGCAGCAAAGTTACCTTCTGCTTCCAAGGCTTTTCAGGAAGCAAAGCCCCACATTGCTTACAATCTCCTATCTCCTAAGTTTTCAGTTTGGAGACCAAAGCAGAACCAAATTCACTGCCATCACAGTGAGTGGGTGGCAGCTCACAGTGGCCCTATAGGCCAGGGCAGAACCACCCCTGTGGGTTTTCGAGACTATAACTCTTTCAAGGGAGTTGAAAGCCCCGCCTTTGTCCCACAGGTGGTTTTGAACCGCTGACCTCTTGGTTAACAGCCCGATGCATAAGAACTGTGCCCGCAGGCTCCACATTCAGAGACAGGGGATGTAAAATAAAAACATGCAGCCGAAAGCTCTCATTCTGCAAACTGAACCTAGGAGCTGCCTCAGTTGATTCATGTGGCCCTGCTAGAGGGCCTTTGGTAGAGAGCAACTCATTCCCCGCAGGCCCACCCAGCTCTGCCCCTCTTGTCCCCCATCACCTGTCTCAAAGGGACCAGGCATGGAGGAAGGAATTGCCTTTCAAATAAGCAATGAGAAGAAAACACTCACTAAATCAGATTTCATGCTCAAGGTACAAAAGGAATCGGAGCCTTCAAAAACCCGGGGGCTTTTGACCCCCCCAGGGCCCTCGTTCTGTGGGGAATGACCAGGACACACACCATGGTGACTGAGTGGAGAATCAGTCAGGAGAGTTTCAGGGGTCCCCTAGCCGAGCCCAGGCGGTGGCTGTGCTTAGTCAGATGGAGGAGCCGCCACGGGGCTGCGTAAGCTCACTCAGGCTTGACAACCAGCTCAGAGGAACCCAAGTACAGGCTATTCATTCTAACCCCTCAGTTTTACAGTCTGGGAAATGGGTGCAGGTGTGCAACACAGGTTCACTGCCTGCTCAGGGCTTGCCTGGAACTGGAAACAGCAGACTTGGAAGATTTTTAGATTCTAAATTTCCCTGCTAAGGAGTGCATTTCGCAGAAGGATAAGTTCAGGCTGCCAGAGGTGGGCTGGGTGAGGATAGGGGGCCTGTTAGGGAATGAGCAGGCTGCTGACCACCCGCCTAGGAGCTCACCCCCGGCCACTCAAGGGCAGTGTTCTATTTGGTTTGGTTTGGCGCGCGCGTGTGTGTGTGTGTGTGTGTGTGTGTGTGTGTGTGTGTGTGTGTTGTTTGTTTGGTTTGAGGGGGTTTTGCCGTGGGGACCAGGGGAGGGTCATCTCATGAGAACAGACTCTGCTTTGCGGAGAAGGTATTTCTTGCCACAGGACTCAACAAATCCGAGCCAATTCCCAAGGACCCAAAGATCTACATGTGACCTCTTCTCTGGGGGACGGACAACAGAAAAGCGGGTGACAGGAGACGTTGGACAGGGCAAGATATGACAAAATAATGATTTATAAATTATCAAGGGCTCATGAGGGAGCGGGGAGCGGAGAGGGAGGGGAAAAAAGGGGAACCTGATGCCAGGGGCTTACGTGGAGAGCAAATGTTTTGAGAATGATGAGGGCAATGAATGTACAGATATGCTTTACACAATTGATAT